TAAGGAAATCCTGGTAAGCCCTGTAGTCCCTCTGTAAATGCTGAATGATAAGCACGCCATTGCTATGAAGGAGATCCATCTTAATGGATTAAACTGTACTTGAAATATAGTAAAGTTCCTTTAATCTTTAGTTTCTACTGAGAGAATGAGAACCATGGAGGGGAGCTATTAAAAAGTGAGAGAAGGTGATTGACGTTGCCTTTATATTATATTGGTGTGGTGTACCCAGCCATTCTTGAAACACGTGGCTCCAAAACTCTGGGAAAGCACATGAGTCTCTTAGCCCTGGAAAGCTTTTCTGTTTGCAAATTTTAATTAGAGGAAGCTAAGTGAAGTACATGCTGAGCAGCAGCAAATTGCAGGGAAAGTTTTGTGGAAACATAATGTGTGACTTATGTAATACTTTGTATGAACAGTTGGAACATGTTTGCTTAAATTTTTTCACAGTTCATTTCTCTGCAGGATGGACATTAGTAGTGTGTGTACTTCATTAAGTGTTGCCTGCATAAAGGATAGAAAGAATACACAAATAACTGATCTTTGCAGAACTGTCATTAAAGCTGTACACTTCACTTTGAAATAGAACTTGGCTACCATGCTGCTACTCATACTTTGACAACACATATTTCAGTCACGGAAAATACAACCAGCATCCATATAGCTGTTGAGCTATAGATTTATTTTTAAAGCAGCAATATTCTTAAAACACTGAAAAACAATTGTTTCCTTCACACAAGAGGCCTGTTAAGCCAGGGCACAATTCAGATGAAGCTTAGTCTCCGAGTCATCATTTGGTACCACCATTCTTGTGTATTGCTTACATGATGCAAGTCCCACACAGCTTTTCCAGGAGCTGCAGCCCCACTTCTGACTGCCCAGTCTCATACAGAAACGAGAATTTTGCAAATCAGAGCAAGGTTGGGAACACATGAGTATTTTCCTGAAGTATTCCCAAGTGAAACATTTTGGTTCTCTAGGGCAAACAGCCAAGAGGAAATAGATTCTTCCACATAGCAGGATTCTATAAGATTACAGCAGATAATATAGTAGCACATCAGATTTATCAATATTAGTACCAATAATGTAGCACAGGAAAAGATTACATTAATTCATGAGGTGGCTAGATGAAAAAAACTTTTTGCACTAGGTATTAAATGGATACTAAAAGCCTGATGATACCATCTTCTGATATTATCAGAATAGCAAGAGGAAAATTTCAAGCTCTTTATCAGACTCTAATATTCCAGTATATTCGTATCTTCTCTCAAAGATTATCTATGTATCTGAAACAGTTAGAGCCCGAAGATGAAAGCAGCTCTATATATGCACTGCACACTTCCCTACTGCTCTGTCCATGGCACTTCAACCTCAACTGCAGAAGTTGTGGAGACAAAGATATGAACTACTTAACTGGTTGTGCTGAAGAGAGACTTAATGGCTTACCGGGGCTTTATGATGTGTGGTCAGGGAAGTCACATGGAAACATTAAATAGATTCAATAAATAAGGCGTGACAATTAAATGGACTTAGAAGACCTCTCCTCCTGACACAATCTCACATTTACTTCACTTACATTTACTTTACCTATTAATAGTCTGGTTTTAGAAACTTTTTAGCAGTTTTAAATCCTATATGTTTATTGCTACCAGTTCCATTGAGCTTAACAGAAAACCTTAAAATTAAAAAGAGATTTAAAATTCTATGCACTGTTTCTGAATAACTACAATATTTTTCTCTACATTGACTGAATTACTCACTTCAACTGGTATCATCTGATTTCAAGGAAAACCATTCCAAAAGCAAAATTTCAGGATATTTCAACAATAACTATTTCCAAGTTTTTTAGCTGAAAATATTTGAGGAGGTTCGTTTCTTGCTAACCCTTATAGTTTACTGCTTTCTACAGTGTACGGTAAGGCAATTGTCATATAAAAGAACAGATGGAAATAATTTTCTCTCTCCCAGGTCTTTTTCAAGATTGTACTTGTATAGAAATATCTCTCTCAAATAACTCTTTATACCTTATTACTAAAGAAAGTGTCCTTTGGCTACATTTTTTTACTGCAAAAGTATCTTGCCTTTAAAGACAAGTAAGACTTACAACAACAACAATAAAAATCACTCTTTTATACATGCCTGGGTTTAGTATGGAAAAATGTGGAGAATCTAAGTTTTTCCTCTCTTTTTCAATCTAGTTTAGAAACAATAATTAGCTTTAAACTTGAGTGTAAATTTTAAGTCAGTTGGTAGATGAATAACAACAATCTTTCTTTTAGTATTTAAACTCATCACAGTTGCTAAGTCGAAATAACTATTGTTCTAGTAGGAAAAAATATTTTGCAGTAAATGAGTAAGTTTCCATCAAGATACAATTTCATGTCCTTTAAGGAGTGTCTATCAAGTAATAACGTAGATCCCTTTACAGGCCCTCTTTAATGGCACCATGGTTACTCAATAGTATCACAAAAGTTGCCTCTCTGACACAGGACATGCAGGATCACTGCAATAACTTTTTGCATGTTTGTTATATTTACAAATATAAACCCACCCACCCATGTTATCTATCCACTGGGATATGATGCATCTGCTCAGGCTGAACTCCTCTTCAGACAGAACCACTCAGGCACACTTTGTTCTCCAGAAACTTTGCAAAAAGGTTTGAAGGTATGTCCTGGCTTTGTTTCAGTAAAGTAACCTCTTTTAGTCTAAATGTTGAAGGCCTCCTGATACTAATTTTCAAGATTTTCCTGATTCTTATGCTACTGATTATCTTTCTGCTGAGGTAAAAGATAAACACCTTAGACCTAATGAAGATTAACAGCTAATAGCAAACATAAAAAGCTTTCATTTTCTCCTACATTCTTTCTGAGGGTTTCAAAAGCTCCTTCATCCTCACCGCAAGAAATCCACAATCTGCAAAGCAGAAAGCAGGGAGTTTTTGGAATAGGTGAGCAGGTTTCTGTGAGAGAGACAGTTCTCACTGTACCTGGACTCACTCATGATCCTGCTCCATCCAAGAGGCAATCCACAATTGACATGCCAGTCATCTCTTGTCCTGCCTGTGGAATTTCACAACCAATGAAAGTCTGAGACACTAAAGACTTTCCAAGCTCTAATAACCAGAAAAGATGGCAAAACATGTCTTGAAATACTATATTTAATAACTTGTTTAAACGAACAAAAGAGAAATTCTTCCTCAATAGACTTTCCCCTTGTCCTTTTCTATGCAAAGACCTGCAAAATGCTTCTGTAGCACTTCAAAGTCATTTGAGATTACATATGAAATAAAACTATTTGCTGTAGTTAAGCATGTAGAACTGCAAGGAAAACGAGTGATCTATACAAAATGGTCAGAAAGTGTATGCACTTACTTTTTTTTGTCCTGTTTTGACATTGTAGAACCAAGGTTTGGCCTTCACATAATCAAATTAGTTCCTAGTAGAAACTGAAAACCTTTAAAATGTCATCTGTTCATATAAAGAGTTTTTAATTTACTGATAACGTCTCAATTTATTTTATTTTCCAAGACATACAAAACTAGAGACTATAAATATTCTTGGTAATAATGTAGAAACAAGAATCATGCTGATGATCCATTGGAGGGAGGATAAAATGTTTACAGCTCCCTTGCACCTACATATTAGAGCAAATATTACATAACATCAGATGTTGTTAAGTAAATGTTTGCAAGAGAAGGAAAAGCCATCAAAGCAAACATTTTTTGAAATCTGTTAATGGAGGCCTATGTACTGGGCCTAACTTTCTGGTACATTATGCTTAGGTAATTGAACAATAGCAATTTCCATATCAGTGCTTCGACTGGCACTAGACCAGCTACAAGGATTAATGAGCAATTTACTAAATTCACCAGCAGACACTGCATACAACAGCTGACAGCTATTTTCCTAGCTATAAATATTTTCCAAGTGGAACACTGAGAAGATACACCTAAATTTTTTAATCAGGAAGAGAAGAATATTTCAATAAGCTCTCTTTCTTCCCTCTCCCCTTCCCCTTCCTTCTCCTCCTCCCTCTTTCCAAATGTATACTTGGCTTGGTAATCATCCTTGAACCGGCCCAACCTCAGTACATTTAAGTGTGAAGCAGATAAGAAAGAGAGGTCTATTAGTTTTAAGACTAATGCTGAGGAAACTCTGAAATCTAGAGAAGTGTCCAAGTCAAATGAGACAGGAATACAGTGGGAGAGAAGTGTTTATACAAGTTTATAATATAAGAATAACACAACTAGTAGTTGGTGGTCTCAGCTCAGCCTTTGCTTTGGGTCCAGTGGGGGGAAGGAGGCAATTAATTCTCTTAGAAATTCTCAATGCTTTACTAAGTTTACATTATTCTGAGCGTATGTAAATAGGACTGGCAAAAAGTAAAACTATGAGAAATTCATTAGCTATGGTAACAAAGTGATTAAAAGTAACCTTCATGATAAACTGAAAGGTGCTACCTGGGATCACTAGTTTTGATAAACTAGTGTTTATCAAAAGCCAAAAGGGAATAAAAACTAGAGGAAAAACTAGGCAGCGTGTCAAAAGGAGCACATTCGCTATGACAGAGGCTTACGGCAAGCCTTGGACTTGGCGCAGACAGGGTTTGTTCACAGCAAAAAGGTGCCGGTCAGTCTCCCGCCAGAACGATCTACCTTAAGGGGCCAGTTGTTATCCACACTCGAGAGATTTCAGGCCTGGGCAATTAAAAGGCAATTCAGGAGCCCCACAAAACTTAGGACCACGCTCTGTGAGTAAAACCGACCCTGCAAACAACTTGCGACTTCAGAGGAGCGAGGGGAAACCGTCCCGCTGCCCAGATAGCGCCCAATATGTTCAGCAGAGAGCAGGCTGTCCCTCGGCGGCCCCTCAAGACCCCCGTCAGTCCCCGCAGCTCTCCCCGGCAGAGCCTCAACCCGCGGCCATCGCTCCCTCCCAGCTCCCTCACGGCGGCCCCGCCCCCCGCGCGCGGCGTTACCGCAGCCCCGGCGCGGGCGGGTCCCGGCGGGCCGGGCCAATGAGCGGCGCGGTTGTTGCGGGGCGGGCCGCGCGGGCCGTTGGCGCGGGAAGGCGGCGCGGTTTGAAGGCGGCGCGTCCGGCGGGAGCGGCGATCGGCGGGGACAGAGCCGGGACAGAGCCCGGTGAGATCCCGGCCAGGGCTGCCGGCGCGGGGAGCTGGCCCCGGCTCGCTGTCAGCCCACGGGGGGACGGCGAAGGGCAGCGGCCGCGGTGCCGCCGGAACCCTGGCGGGGCCCTCCCCTGGCGCAGTATCCGAGCGCGGGGAGAGGAGCGAGGGGAACGCCGCTCCCGCTGAGCCAGTGGTGACAAAAAAAAAAAAAAAAAAAAACCAACACAACAACTTGCGGGAAGAGGTTTCAACAACAAGGCGAGGGGACCAAAGCAGCTGCGAGGGTTTATTCCGTGAGTTACACCCGCGGGCACTGCCTCCCGTGTCCTGACGCTGTGTCTCTTCACTGGCAGGGGTGTCACAGCACCATGGCTAATGCAAAGACAGAAGATGAAATAACGCTCTTTGAAAGAGATATGAAAGAGTTTTGGATCGAGTTTAAAAGCGTTTATGGCACTGAACAGATCAATCAGACTTTAACACTGAGAGATTCGTGCAAGGAGGCTATAGAAGCACTTTCAGGTAAAAAGGCTCTAAGTTCCTTTTACCTCTGTGTTTTGCAAGTTATCATCATACTTCTTCAGATAACTGAAGTAACTTTCCATTACAGCGAAATGGTCCAAGAAGCTGAAAGAAGGAGACCTGATGATTGACAAAATTCAGGAGTATAACAATGGTACAGTACAGTGTTCTATTTATTCTGTCTAACCTTTCTAAAATTAGCTTAATACAGCTGAATAGTATGTTTAACTTCACATTTTAAAATAACATCAGAACGAAGACAGAATTAAACCCAAACATATTTGGTTGATTACAGAATGTAAATTTCAATTCAAAAGCAATTTGTTGAAAAACTTCACTGATAGTGCAAAAAGATGAAAGTCAGTTTTTTGCATAGTGATTTTAAAGCATAAGTATTTAAAACAACAAAGTACCAAAACTTGCTGAGTGCACTAGGAAACGTAAATTAAATTTCTTAGTAAAGTTAAATATTGTGAGGTTACTTATGCCTTTTCCATATTAGTAAGAGAGCACTGTCAGCTCATCTGTTCAGGGTCAACTTCTCTGAATTTTGTAGTTAAACTTCAGAATATCAGGTAAATATTATTGCAACTCTCATATCAGTCAGTGTGTCCATTCTTTGCTTTCTGTCAAATTATTTGTGGACAGGATCCACCATCTTCAGGCTGTGAAGATGTATATAGTGCTGGCACCAGAAAACAGCACATCTCATTGAAGTATCACAGCTCCCTACCTTGCAGCTTCTCTTAGGAGTAACTTTCACTCTAAACTTTATTTGATACTCTTAGTGTAATTATGCTGACTTCTCTCTGCAGCTGAGACAGCATGCATTTCACTACATTTTATTCAAACAAATCCTCACAAATTACATAAGGATTAAATAGCAGGGCCCTACTTAATCAACTGTATGTGTTCATATTTCCTTTGCTCCTTTCAGAGATTCTCCAGCAGAACAAATGTATATCAGAAAAGGAAGAGCAGTTGACAGAAATTAAGCTAAATCAAGAAGAAGAGCAACAGAAGAACTTGACTGACAGCATCCAAGAGTTAAAAGAAGAGTTGGCGAAGCAAATGGAAAGTAAGCAAAGGATAATAAGCAATTTTTTTTAATTGAAGGAGGAGTTGTTTTCAACACTTGTTCTTTAGAGCTTTACTACTGTTCTAAATATTTTTTCATGTGCTTGTTTTGCCTTTAATACTTACGGTGGATTTTAAAATTCTAGTACTGTCTTCTAAAGACAAAGCTGTCAAGGAGAAAATGGAACGACTGTGCAAGTCTAAAGTATTGTTTGAGGAGTGTCTTGGATTGGAGATACGCAGAATTCACAGTAAGTTACTGTAGTTTCCGTGGTTCCCATGTGTACTGATCCAATGTGGTCAGTGCTGGGTTGTGCAGTGAGGAGCCAGCATACACACCTGATGAACTGTCTCAGCCCAGGCATTACCATTGTCTCTCAAATGGCAAAATATATTAAAATGCATTTGTCTTTCAGAGAGACCAGGGTTGCCTAATTTGTAGGTGTTCTAAGAATATTAATTGAAACTAACTTCATATTGTGATTTTTAGTCATTGTGACTAAAAGATCATTGTGACTCTCCAGCAGAGGTTAATGATGTTAATTAATTCTATTTGTTTTTATTTTAGATGAACAATTACAGTTTATATTCAGACACATTGACCACAAAGATCCTGACAAGCCATACACGTTTACCCTTTCCATAAATGAACAAGGAGATTATGAAGGTATGTGAATTTTGAGTACTTCCACAAGAGGACTGAATCTGATGCCTCTTTGAAAAAAGGGGAGGAGGAGCAAAGTGCAGTTTAGTTATCCTTAAATTTTTGAATGAAAAATATTGAAATAGTAATATAGTTTCTTTACTTATGTTTGTCTTGTTAACTTACATGAAAAAATAACTGCTTATCTTCACTCCTCTCCATTTTGGAGATGCTGTTTATTTCATATCAAGCAAAGCGGGAGAAAGAGGATATACAGAGATAAGGATGCTTCATTTTGTAGTTTGTTTATGCTAGAGTCAGTGTCTATGCTGACAGGCACATTTCAACTTCATTTGAGAAGCCTAGAGGGCACAGAAACCCTTACAGGGTACATAGGTCAAAGAATAAAACTTGAAATCCAGCAATCCCCTTCTGTAAGGACACAGCCTTTCAGATCTTAAAGCTGGTTTTGCAATATGGATCTTACTTCAGTTATGCAGAACTGAAGTGCTCTGCTGCAGAGCATCTAGATAGACACTACTGGGGCTTTTACGTATGGAGTGAATAGATTTCTGGTTTTATTAATTCAGATTTAAACTTTTGAAGTTATAAGTACATCACATACTGGGTTACATCAGTTTACAATCTGCCTCCTCGCAGAGCAACAAAACTATTTAGGAATGTGTTTCAGTTTTTGACCAGGCTATGGATTACTTGGAATTGCTGTAACAATTCAAGTAGGAGCACGGCACTGAGTGGGAAGTCAGGAAATGACCTGTTGTGTTTTTTGAGGCTTTGTCCTTGCTGACAGAAAATGAGGCTACTCAAAAATAATACTGGTGGAAGCTAAAACATAAAAAGATACCAAACTACATTAGTATTTCAGAAGCATGGGAAAAAATATTGGTTTTTTTTAATAAGTCTCATCTTTTGGAAATTTTTGTCATTTTAGTGACTTCATGTACTCCTCCTCTGGACTGTATAGCAGAGTTCCAGCTCAAAGTGAGAGAAACTAACAATTTTCCTGCATTTGTTGCCAACATCAGAAAAGCTTTCACTGCTTTATCGTATAAATAGTCTGCATAAAATTAGCTCATACCTCTCTTTCTAGCTGTAGAACACTCTTGTTTCCTTCCTGTGTTGTGAAAATGTGTATTTATCCCTGTCTTACTCTGTTTTCTAAATAAAGAAAAATAATGAAAATAGTATTATAGTCCACTGTCATCCAGAGACATTTTGGATCATTCTTCAAACAACAGTATAATCAACTGCTTCCTTAACTGAACGTCTCCAGACATGTAAGTTTTGATCCAGTAACAATTGGCTTAAAGATGTAACCATCTCTATTACCCCAGGAAGATAGCCAAAGTAAAGTACCTTCTGGAGTTTCTTTTCCAAAAACATTGATGAGTCTTTCAGGTTTCTCTGGTTGAAATAGGCCTGAAAACCTATCAAAATAATGTGCTGGAGCTTAGCACTTCAGTTACTTGTGTCACAGGCCACTATCTTAATTTTTACCCTAACTTGTACTCCACAGTGTTAGCACTTATTTTCATGCATGTAAATGGCTCTTATTCTTTTGGCCTGTTAAACTTTGTCATTGGAAATTTTTTGACATGGCAAAGCCTGAAGTATAATTTATTAAAGTGTGAAATATAGTAGCTAGAGATAAATCACGTGTATTTTGCAGCTTATCAAGAAGACTATTACTGCCACAGTACTCAGCTTTGATTTAATTTATTTTTCTTCTATCTTATTTGTAAACTGCTTTCCTTTTCACCAAAATATTTAAATGGACAGCTGCAACAAGAAAGAGCTTCATTTGATAATTTAACATAGTTAAAATAAAATCTTGCTAAATTCAGTCCTAGAAATTCTAGTGAAGTAAAAGACCACTTGAATTGAAAACTAGTATGTGAGACCTGGCCATTTAGGCATGTTTAAATGTGGTGATGCCGATAAGATACTCTTCCCCAGTCGGATGTGAACTGTGTTTTAAATCATTGGGTTTGTCTAAACTTAACCATTCAGCTTGGTGGATACACCACAGACTACACCTTCAATCTTCTGTGAGTGCAACTTAACAAAAAAAAAGTAATACCTGTTGGCTCCAGCAGAAAGATAATCTTCCATTTCTTCTTCCCTGTAAGGCATATTTGCTATTTTCTAACTAATGCACCATTTTCCTAGCTATGCGCTGCTGAGTTTTTTTTTCTTTTGCTATAGCCAGTTATACACAAAACTAGCAGTAAGAATGGTAAAGGTGCCAACTGATTGCACTGCAGTTTTAGAACAGAGTGGCAGCAGAGATTAGTAAATGCTTGTATAATGACATCTGAAATTAAACAAATCCTCAATTTCTGCTTTGTCCACAAACCCTGTACAGTCTCTGAGAATTCTGTAACCGACAATGGGACAAACAGAGGCACAGGCTGGGAGTCTGCCTTCAAGTAGAAGGGGCCTTGTTCATTGTAGATTTGCCTCCTTTTATTTAAATAAAGGAATATTTAAATAGCAAGTATTTATTTCAATTACTTGCTTTTATCACCAAAAGCATGCTGTAGGCACTTTATGTAGGTCAACAGACTAGTCAGGAGTTAAAAAAAAAAAAAAAATGCATTGAGCTACCTCTGCACTTCCCACTTCTAACTTCTCTCCCAGGCACGGTGGGTGCTGTTGGCAACTCTTCCTTGTACAGAAGCTCTTACCTTCCATGTCAGGAAGCCTATCCCTTCTCACTAATGGCATTGCCCTCGTGTCCAGAATGACTAATTTTGAGGCATACTCCTGCACTTCTTTACCTGTCTGTGCCAAGCAACTCTTAGCTGCTCTGAACTTCAGGATGCTCAACCAAATATTTTACAGCTGTTGTATGAAAGCACAAAGACAGATAGAACACAACCACCTCATTTCCATTATTTCAAAGTGAGCTGTTAATTCATTAAGGGTGTACTTACTGCTCAGGTACCCTGTAGCATATCTGATTTGATCGTCAATTTCACAGGAGAAAGAAACTGAAACACGCCTTTGAGTAACAAAGACAGATGCTCAAACTTTGTGCCATATTCTTTTCTTGTTCAGCCCAGGCATGAGTAGTTGGTGAAAAAATGAATTGTCAAGATTACTATGCACAGAACATAAAATATAGGGCAACTACTGTATTGGAATATACATTCATGGTAATTGATTCCTAGAAAATATGATGTGCCTGACTGTAAATGTTCTGTGCATATGCCTAAAGCAAGAAGTAAAGTTTGAAATATTTATTGTGTGTAACATAAACCTTTACAACTCCTTTTGGAGTGTGGATAATATACCTGCTTATGTTTGCCAAGGCAAATCAGATGTAGATATTACTTCCACTAAAACATAGCCAGCCATTCCAAAAGTGGGTAAAGGCTAGGAAAGTGTACACAACAGTTTCTTTGCTTATTAAAAAAGAGGAAGTAAAACTGGCTTGTGACTCCCATGAAACAGGCTTTATGGTAGGGGAAGATCTGTCTTAAAGTTTTAAAACCTTTGTGGCTTTAATAAGTTTACTTGGTGCTTATAGGATTTCACACAGCTGGATCTGAGGTAATTTGGAATTTTCTATTTGTTATGAAACTGCATGATACAGTGATATCCAATAATAGTAAGGACAAATAGCATAAACCAATGTAATACTTATTGACCCAACAGACCCCAGTGTACTGATCAGTACACAAATACAGACTGAAATGCCCCAAAGAGCATATGGGAAAGCTCTTGAGCTCAAAAGCAATATGCAGCTTAGGGCCTATGACACACAACCAGCTAGTGCTAGTGCTCTATGAGCCGGATCAGGTTTATCTTAAGGCAGAAATAGATGTCATTGAAGGTCAGAAAATGCTTTTCTTTTTTCATAAATCAATTTGGCCAACCCTGAACATTGCTTTCCCTTTCAAACTGCTGACCTGTACTTAGCTACCAAGGGTCAAATCTGAAATGCTGGGCCATGAACACTGACCATACAGAAGACTGCTCATGGACTGGTGCTCAGCACCTCATCAACTTTGACTCGTAACAGGATGTAAGAATCTGGAAAAACAGATGTTGAATTTATCAGGTATTGGAAATACACTATGAATTTAAGGACTGCTGGGAAGACAAAAGAATATTAAGTGTCAATAGCATATGTATTAAGTGCATTTAATCACAATTGTTTGTATGCTAGCTGGAGGCCAGATTTGGAAATAAATCAAATTACTGTAAAAGTCCTTCTGGCTAACAGAACAGTTTTATTACACACCTACTCAACCTTTAGAGTGGAGGTAGTTACTCTTGGATATTGTTAAATGTATTCTGAAAAGCAAACAAACGAGTATTGGCTACACTTGTGAAAATTAAGAAAGACATGGAAGTTATACTGTGCTTCAGTCATATTGTTATATTTGTACAGGATTTGAACAGGATTGTTCAGCTGTGTTATATTACTGTCTTCTCTAATGGTTCAATAAACTGACTTCATTTAGTACCTTGAAATGGTCTAAATTAGTTGTGTCATTATAATACTCTAACTTTGCTGTGAACTCATTTGTGAGTGATTTATAACATTCTACAAGCCCTGCTGAACATGGTCTACAGACATACACACAGAAATCAGACCCAGAGGCAGATTACTGTACATATTTTCACTGTATGAATAAACAATACTAAATAATTATGGTAATGCTCTTACCTTTTTGAAAGAAATTGTTGCAACCCAATTACATCAGGCATTGCTGCTAAAATAGCATTGTATGCCTGAAGGGCTGGGAGGAATGGCTCTGATTGCCAGACAGTGAGGCTCCATTCTTCTCATCCTTATTATCCCTAATCACTCTGACAACTACACACAAAGAACCCTTTAGAATCTTGAGCTTATAAACAAGTTGTTGCAGCAGAAGCAGTGGCAATGAAGCCTGATTTCCTACAGATCTGGATTTGTCCTTAAACAGTGCCCTTCTCTTCACTGCAGTATCCCAGCTCTTCAGTCTATAGATAAGAGCGATAGAACCACTCCTGAGTTATCCGAGTTTAGCTCCTGCTTGGCTGCTGCTAAAGCCTCAGGACACTGTTTGCACCCTGCCTACTCTTCTTCCAGTGGTACTCTCCTTCACTTGGCTGCTGAGTTTAAGTACATTATAAGATCAGGTATAACTGCAACACAATCTCCAAAAGTTGTTAGGGAGACTGCCTGTGTTAAAAATAGTGCTTAATCATCGAAATGTGTGGTATTTTTTTACATGACATTATATTTTTTTTAAGTAGCTATGCACTGAAATAATTAATTGAAAGAAGATGCAATTAAAGTCAATTTGATTTTCTTCCTCTTCAGTCACAGCATGTTGAACAATGCTAATTGCTACTGACTCACCTGTTTTGTGACTGATGGATAACTCTACATGGAAACATGCTCTTTGACTTGTCTCAAGGGATTATTTTGCACTGTCTACTGATCACGAGCTCAGTTCTTCACTATCCAGTATCTTCTGCACCACAGCCACAGCTGGAATAACTGGCTGGGCAGAGAAGGAGGTGTGATGAACAAACACCAGCTGTGCATCGTTACTATTTGATTTAGAAGCATGCTACACTTACTTTATAGTGATGGCAATTCTCATAAAGGAATCCAGGCATTTAAGAGCAGACTGCACACATTAACTTTTTGGCTAAGCAAGTAGAAGTGATAGAGGGGTGACCTCGTGGGTGGTATACTAGCTGTCTAAGTTAAAGCACAATAGATTAATATAAATGCTTACCTCATAGGTTAAAAACAGGCAAACAACTAATACTTAACTTTCCAAATGAAGATAGCAAGAAATAAATTTGCTTGTCTAACTCCATGTCTGACACAACCCCATTAATGAAAATACAATGCTGCAAATTGGTAGCTGTTTTTTCAATATTAGTTGTACCAGCACGACTAACTGGCCTGTATTTTCTTATACTTGGTGCAAAGGCAGGCAAGCCATCTGATAAAATCATATTTCTAAATGAAAGAGGGAAAACCTCTCCTGACATGCAATTCTCAATGCTGTCAACTGCAACTCTGCAGCAATTACCTGTCATTTTAGGCTCCAGCCTTCTGTAAGGTTAGTCCATAATTCTGACAGTCTGCTTGGGACTAATACAGTAGGGACCACCTTTATTAAGTGCTCTGCTAATGGCATTGCAATGAATCAAAATGCCACATTCACATT